TCCCCTCCCACAGGGGGAGTGCTACTCAGCCAGAAGCCAGGCTCACAGCTGGCTAGTGCAGAGGTAATAGTAGGAGCCTCTCCCACCTCTGCTGCAGGTGGGTCGTAAAGAGTGAGGGGTCCTGTGGACATCCCCTGGGGGCCCCACAGAGGGATGTCTGAATGCCAGCTTAGGCCCAATCCCTTGGGAGCAGGCCTAAGCCAACAGGTGGTCATCCCCCAAGGGGTCCCAGACTGTGAGAGAGCACAGGCCGGGCTGAGGGACCCCTTCACCCCTGAGTGCACAAATTTTTGTGTACCAGGCCTCTAATGTATTATAAACTGTTATAAAGTTTATAAACTATTATAAACTGAATGTTTGTGTAACCTCAAAATTAATATGTTGAAACCTAATCCACAATATAATGTTATTTGGTGGTGCCTTTGGGAGGTGATTAGGTCACGAGAGTGGATTCCTCAAATAGGGTTAGTGCCCTCATAAGAAAGGCCCAGAGAGCTTCCTTTCCCACTTTCTGCTGTGGGGATGCACAAAAAAATTGTTGTCTGTAAACCAGAAAGTGGGCCCTCACCAGACACAGAACTTGCTGGCACCTTTTATTTTGCACTTCTGGACAAACTAGAGTCCCGGTGCATGAAATTTGTGCACGGAGGAGGGGTTGCCTCAGCCAAGCCTGCACCCTCTCCGATCGGACATCCCTCTCACAATCTGGGACCACTGTCTCCTAACTGCTCACCTTCCTGCCTGCCTGCCATATCACCCCTACCTGCCTCTGCCTGCCTGCCTGATCACCCCTAACTATCCTCCCCTTCTAGCCTGATTTCCCTAACTGCCCTCCCCTGCCTGCCTGCCTGGTTGCCCCCAACTTCCCTCCCCTGCTGGCCTGATCTTGCACTCAATGGCCCTCCCCACCAACCTGATCTCACCTCCAATGGCCCTCCCCTGCAGGCCTGATCTCACGCCCAACTGCCCTCCTCTGCTGGCCAATTTGGTTCTGATTGGTCCATTTCTATGCCAGTTAGTGTCAAAGGCTCTGCCTCCTAGGCAACCATTGGCTCCCAATAGCACCCAGATTTGGTTCTGATTGGTTGGTTTCTATGCCAGTCAGCATCAGAAGCTCTGCCTTCTCGGCAGTGATTGGTTCTTCATAGCACCCACATTTGGTTCTGATTGGTTGGTTCCTATACCAGTCAGCATCTCCAGGCCTATCTCCATAACTGATCAGAGAGGTAGGGCTGAAGAGAAGCCCCCCCCACCCCAGGCCAGTAGAGAAAGAAAGGCTTGGCTGCTGGCGAAGCCTGGAAAGAAAGAGGGAGAGAAAGAGAGAGTCAATCAGATCTTGCCTCTCTCTCTCTGGGTCTCAGCCCCCTAGGACCACCAGGCTGTTGGGTCACCAGGCTGCAGTGGGGAAGCAGTGCTGGGCTGCCAGGCTGCAGCGGGGCAGGCAGTGCTGGGCCGCAAGGCTGCAGTGGGGCAGTCAGTGCTGGGCCGCCAGGCTGCAGTGGGGCAGTCAATGCGGGTTGCCGTGGCTGCAGCTGAGCAGTCAGTGCAGGTTACCATGGCTGTGGGCCACTGGGCTGCAGCGGGGCAGGCAGTGCGGGTTTCCGTGGCTGACTGAAGGACTTTCAGGTTGGTCAGCCTTTGGTTGTGATGGTCGTTAGGACCCTGGGCTTTTATATATCAGGATTACTTTGATAGAGTCTATTAGATTTTCACAGTTCTCTCTTCGGCAGCTTATACACGCACCCACTGCCCGAATATCTCCTGAGGCTGTAACATGCCAGGCTCTCTCCTGGCCCTGAAGACACAAAAATAAGATCTCTGCCCCCTGCCCTCCTCTGTCAAGCCACAAACTGGTGTATAGACAGACAGCCAATGAGCATTTGGCTTTACCCCCATGAGTGAGAATGTAACAATTCCCTCGCCCCTCTTGTGCCATAATCTCCTGCACACACCCTTGCCCACACCCCTGCACACACCCCTGCACACACCCCAG